AAAAAAAAAAAAAAAAAGGAAGTTGGAAAGTTTACAGTCTCACCAAGCAGCACTTGAGAGGCCTTTTTTCTTTTAATGTTTATGCAGGCCTGTTCCTTTTTTCCTTTCTTTTCTTTTTCTCTCTTCTTTTCTTTCCTCTTCTCTTCTTTTCTATTTCTCTGGAGATAATGCTGGGATGCAGAAAAATTACACCTTTAAGATTAGGGCCAGGTGCAGTGGCTCACAGTTGTAATCCCAGCAGTTTCGGAGGCCAAGGTAGGCAGATCACTTGAGGTCAGGAGTCAGAGACTAACCTGGCCAACATGATAAGCCCCCATCTCTACTAAAAATATAAAACTTAGCTGGGCATGGTGGCATGTGCCTGTAATCCCAGCTACTTGGGAGGCCGGGAGTCTGAGCAGGAGAATCACTTGAACCCGGGAGGCGGAGGATGTAGTGAGCCGAGATCACGCCAGTAAGTTATCTTGCCACTACACTCTATCTAGCCTTGGTGGCAGAGTGAGACTCCATCTCAAAAAAAAATAAAGATTGGTTGCACAACATTGTGAGTGTACTTAACACTACTTAACTATAAGACTAAAAATGATTAAGACGGTTAATTTTATGTTCTATGTATTTTACCCCAATTAATAGTAAAACATAAAATTGTACCTTTGAGGCCAGGTGCAGTGGCTCATGCCTGTAATCCCAGTACTTTGGTATGCCAAGACAGCCCGATCACTTGAGGCAGGGAGTTTGAAACCAGCCTGACCAACGTGGCAAGACCCTGCCTCTACTAAATACACAAAAATTAGCCAGGTACGGTGGCACATGCCTGTAATCCCAGCTGCTTGGAGGCTGAGGCATGAGAATCGCTTGAATCCAACAGGCGGAGGTTGCAGTGAGCTGACATCACACCACTGCACTCCAGCCTGGGCGACAGAGCAAGACTCTATCTCAAAATGGTTATACCTTTGAGCTAACCCCTTAGAGATTTTATGAGCTTCAGCACTTTAACAAGTACTAAGTTCTCTATTAGTCTTTTGAAAGAATGTTTCTCCATTACACAATTCTGACCTGATCTCTTCCTGTGATATTTTTTGAATATAAGCAAAGCAGATTGTCATTAGAAAATAGCACAGTTGGCTGGGCACAGTGGCTCCCGCCTATAATCCCAACAGTTTGAGAGGCCAAGGCAGAAAGATTGCTTGAGCCCAAGAGTTTGAGCCTAGATATTGTATTATTGCAAATACAGTATCTAATTGTATTTGTAGTAATACCCAAAGGTGTGTTTTGAGCCATTTTCTCTGCCTGCCCAGGCCATGTGCATCCCTCCCCAACCCCAAACAGCTTTTCTTAGAGTATCCTCTGCATTTACAAGGCTGTGAATCATATGTATTTTCCTGGCTAAATCCGGTTCCTTTTCTATGTTGTTGTTATGCCACAATAGTTTGATTTTCTGTTTGAATTCTAGGACAGCTGTGGGAAGAGGCCAAGCTTGGCTGTATATTGCACTCATGCAAAAGAAACTGGCAGATTATCTGACAGTACTTATAGACAATAAACATCTCTTAAGGTATTTCATTAACTGTGTTTGCTTATCTTTTGCTTGCTAAATAATTAGAACATAGGCTGGGCATGGTGGCTCATGCCTGCAATCCCAACACTTTGGGAAGCCAAGACGGGTGGATTGCTTGAGGTTGGGAGTTCAAGACCAGCCTGACCAACATGGTGAAACCCCATCTCTACTAAAAATACAAAAATTAGCCAGGTGTGGTGGTGGGTGCCTGTAATCCCAGCTACTCGGGAGGCTGAAGCAGGAGAATCGCTTGAACCAGGGAGGTGGAGGTTGCAGTGAGCTGAGATTGCACCATTGCACTCCAGCCTGGGTGACAGAGTTAGACTCCATCTCAAAAATAATAATATTTAGAACATAGTCCTGTAGATCATTTTGAATTAAAATAAGTATATCAGCCAGGCATGGTGCCTCATGCCTGTAATACTAGCACTTTGGGAGGCCAAAGCGTGCCAATCACTTGAGGTTAGAAGTTCAAAAGCAGCCTGGCCAACATGGTGAAACCCCTACTAAAAATAAAAAATCAGCCAGGCATGGTGGCATATGCCTGTAATCCCAGCTACTCAGGAGGCTGAGACAGGAGAATCACTTGAACCCATGAAGCAGAGGTTGCAGTGAGCCAAGATCATACCACTATAAGTCCAGCCTGGGAAACAGAGCGAGACTCTGTCTCAAAATAAAAAATAAAATAAGTGTATAATGTTTACGGAAATTTATGACTGGTTCATTTTTTATATTTGTAACTAAGCAAACATCATTATAAAAGGAATTTTCTCTAGACTATGATAATTTATGAGGGAGGACTCTTTCCAGAGTTAAAGCTTTCTTGTAATTGAGAAACAGATAAAAATAGGTAATTGAGAAATAGATCTTTTACAGCATAGCCTAAAACCCAAGTTTCCCAGTGTTTTCAAGTCATAGCTCATTATCAAACATATCTTTACACCACAAATAGTGATTTACAATATTTCTCATACTCTGAGTACAGTTACACTGAGTAACTTTGAGTTATAGATTTTGTTGTAATGAACTTTTCAATTAATTTTTTATTTATAATTGACACAAAATTGTACATATTTGTGAGGTACCATGTGCATGTATATACTATATAATGATCAAATCAGGGTAATTACCCTATCCCTCACTTTACTAATAAGCTAATTCTTTTTCTTTTCTTTTTTTTCTTTTTTTTTTTTTTTCTTGAGATGGAGTTTTGCTCTTGTTGCCCAGGCTGGAGTGCAATGGCATGATCTCGGCTCACTGCAGCCTCCGCCTCCCAGGTTCAAGCGATCCTCCTGCCTCAGCCTCCTGAGTAGCTGGGGTTATAGGCGTGCACCACCACACCCGGCTAATTTTGTATTTTTAGTAGAGACAGGGTTTCTCCGTGTTGGTCAGGCTGTTCTCGAGCTCCCGACCTCAGGTGATCTGAATGCCTTGACCTCCCACAGTGCTGGGATTACAGGCATGAGTCACCATGCCCAGTGGCCCTTTTTTTTTTTTTTTAAATGGAGTTTCACTCTTGTTACCCAGCCTGGAGTGCAGTAGAACGATCTCAGCTCACTGTAACCTCCACCTCCTGGATTCAAGCAATTCTCCTGTCTCAGCCTCCTGAGTAGCTCTGATTACAGGTGCATGCCACCACACCTGGCTGATTTTTGTATTTTTAGTAGAGACGGGATTTCGTTACATTGGTCAGGCTGGTCTCAAACTCCTGACCTCAGGTGATCTGCCCACATCAGCCTCCCAAAGTGTTAGGATTACAGGCGTGAGCCATCGCACCCAGCCACTAATGAGGTAATTCTTAAAAGTTCTTACACACACACACACACACACACACACACACAGTGGCCTGGATGCCACTGGATTTGGTACATTAGCAAATCATTGCTGACCAGAGCAGTAACAGACAGGGGATGGACCCCCACTGCAAATGGCCGAGATAACTGGGCAATAAGGAAGTAAAAGCAGCAGATGTTGCTAGTGGGATGCAAGAAGGAGTTTTATGCTTGGATGTGGGATCCCATTTCTTGTTTATATGAGCATATAACCAAGAAGTAGTAGTTTGTATCAACACAGAAGAGGAGCCAGTGGAGACACAGGAAAGGAGAATGACAGGAGTACAGCGGCCAAGAGGAGATGAGAAGAACCGGGGTCCAGGGTCTGCATGGAGGAGTTAACCTTAGACGGGGAGGGGAGAGCCCATTCTTAGCCATGGAAGGAGAAGAGTGGACAGAGAAGAAAAAGTGGCCCTTGAAGCAGTGAAGGGAAATGAAAGGGAGGGAGGAAACCCACGGTAGTATCTCCTTTCTCCAGGGTACAGTTGAAATGGCAGTGGAGGGTGGGGAAGGAATGGTGATGGCGAAGCTGTTTCTGAGCATCGCTCTGGCCTGTCTGTCTCTTTTAGTGAGTTCTATGAGCCTGAGGCTTTAATGATGGAGGAAGAAGGGATGGTGATTGTCGGTCTGCTGGTGGGACTCAATGTTCTCGATGCCAATCTCTGCCTAAAAGGAGATTTGGATTCTCAGGTAAAGTGAAATTTTGGCTCTAGATGAAATACCTTCATTAGTCCAGGGACTTTACAAGGTATCTGCAGACAGGTACTAAACTTAAAGAAGGGCCAATGGCAAAGAGGCCTCTGGTAAAGGACCAGCCAGGGGCAGGTAGGGAAGCAGCTGGGGAAGGTCTTGGAAGGGTGAAGAAGTTGCATAGCCAGAAGTACACCTGGAAAGTTCAGCAGGTTTGGGAATAGGCAGACAGCTCTCCAAGGCTGGAGCAGAGGATGCTCCGTGGGTGAGGTGAAAGTGGAAGCTGGGCCCGGTTTTTAGGCCATCAATGCCATGCTGAAGGGTGTAGCTTTTATCCCCTGAGCTTTGAGAAACTGTTGGAAGTTTTTTTTGTTTTTGTTTTTTTTGATAGAGACAGGGTTTCTCCATGTTGGTCAGTCTGTTCTTGAACTCCCGACTGCAGGTGATCCGCCCGCCTCCACCTCCAAAAGTTCTGGGATTACAGGCGAGAGCCACCATGCCCGGCCACTGTTGGAAGATTTTAAGAAGTAAATGGAAATGATCATGCCTGGATTTGAGAAAGCTCAATCTAGCAGCCATTCAGGTCATGAGTTAGAAGTGGCCAAGAATAGATACAGCAAAAGCTTTGAGGAGACAAGTCTAGAAGTCCCACAAGGTTGGATGAGGAGTAGGAAGATAGAGTCGGCTGGGCGCTCTGGCTCACGCCTGTAATCCCAGCACTTTGGGAGGCCGAGGTGGGCGGATCACGAGGTCAAGAGATCGAGACCATCCTGGCCAATATGGTGAAACCCCATCTCTACTAAAAATACAAAAAATAGCTACATTTGTCTCAATTGCGTTGACTTCTCAGGAAAGCTCCCAGAGGGCCGAAGCAGGGAGTTGAAACTTACCAGCTCCAGGCTTGACAGTGAGAGGCCTGCCCCTCTCCCCTCCTGAGTGCCTAAGCCACTGCTGACTGTTGACCTTCAGTCTCCCAGGAGAATGAAGAGGGAGGGGTGGGCCTGAATAGCCCCCTCCCCACACCTCCCAGGGGCCACTCTGTCCAGACCCTGGCTGATGCTGGACAGGCTGACTACCTGGCTGGGCCCTGTGACCCCCTCAGGGCCCATCTGCCCTGTCACCAGCCTCTCTCCCGTCAGGTCAGCTGGAGGAGCTGAGGCCATGAGTCCCAAGCGACCAGTGTACAGTGCTTAGGTGGCACAGAAAGTCAGAGGACCCCAGACCCAAACAGTCTGGGCTTCCCATCTACACAGGTGACAGGACGCACCCATGGGTGACAGCATGCACCTGTGTGGTGTGTGGGGCTTGTGACCAAACATGAGACTAGCCTGCCAGAGCCCACACCTGTCTTCTGTGTCCTGGCTCAGCCATAGACTTCCAGCTCTCCCCAGGGAACCCCCAGCCTTCTCAGGGCTGGAGGGAGAGAGCCTGGGACCCCAGCGCCCCCTTTGCTACAGAGGATCAGTCCTCTGACCTTGTAATGACACATTTGGAGTGGTGGGTTGATTCATGCCTGTGCCCACCCAAGCTCCTGGGGCTTTGCTCACATGAGGTGGCCCCAGCCTGAGGGCACCGCTGGCCAGAGACTGGTTAGTGTGCGACGGGGCCTGTGTGGACTTGATCAGCTTCTTACAAATGCACTTTTTATTTATTATTATTATATTTTAAGTTCTGGGGTACATGTGCAGACCTTGCAGGATTGTTACATAGGTATACACATGTCATGGTGCTTTGCTGCCTCCATACCCCTGTCACCTATGTTAAGTATTTCTCCTAATGTTATACCTCCTCAAGCTCCCCCCCGCCATCCCTACTCTAGCCTCCCACCCCCCAACAAACTCCAGTGTGTGATGTTCCCCTCCCTGTGACCATATGTTCTCATTGTTCTACACCCACTTATGAGTGAGAACATGTGGTGTTTGGTTTTCTGTTCTTGTGTCAGTTTGCTGAGAATGATGGTTTCTAGCTTCATCCATGTTCCTGCAAAGGACATGAACTCATCCTTTTTTATGGCTGCATAGTATTCCATGGTGTATATGTGCTACATTTTCTTTATCCAGTCTAATCTTGATGGGCATTTGGATTGATTCCAAGTCTTTGCTGTTGTAAACAGTGCCACAGTGAACATACGTGTGCATGTATCTTTATAATCAAATGATTTATAATCCTTTGGATACATACCCAGTAATGGGATTGCTGGGTCAAATGGAATTTCTATTTCTAGATCCTTGCGGAATCACTACAGTGTCTTCCACAATGGTGGCACTAATTTTCACTTCCATCAACAGTGTAAAAGTGTTCCTATTTCTCCACATCCTCTCCAGCATCTGTGGTCTCCAGATTTTTTAATGATCGCCATTCTAATTGGCAGGAGGTGGTATCTCAATGTGGTTTTGATTTGCATTTCTCTAATGACCAGTGAGTTGTTCCTGGAGCTCCTGTTTGAGGCTGTGCCTGAGGTGTGTGTGCTACCGAACCAGAGCCTTTCTAAGTCTTGTGGTTATTATGTTCTGAAATAAAACAGAATATGTCCCTGATTATTTTCTGCTCTGGACCAGGAGCTAAGGAATGAACCCATCATGGCACCAAAACCCTCTGAGCCCTGCAAGTGTGCTTCACATTAATGACCACGCCAGATTCCACTGTAAAATGTAGCTGTTCCCACCCTGGGTTAGGTGACCACTAAGACCGTCCTGTGATGACAGCGTGTAAAATCTCTACAGGCCATCACACTTCCACATGCACACATAGGTGCTGGAACTCCCTGGCACGGTGATGAGTTATGCCAGGGCTGTCTGCCAAGTGCACAGTAGTAGCCATCGCATCAATGTTTCACCCATTCTTGAGTTCACATTTGCCTCTTCAGTTTAGGAGCCCAAGAGCTTGAAAAATTCATCTCCACAGCATCTCTACCTGAGGAGTGGGGACATGAAACTTACCTTTAGGTAAGCTGCCATGGAGGATGAAAGGGCTGATTGATGTGAAGTGTGCAATGGTGACGCATTTTGTGTTTAGAACAGTAAACCTTGTGTTGGGCTTTGCACGTGGAAATATCCTTTCCGGGGAAATGCACGCAGGCTCCCAAAGATACTTATGATCACTTTACATGAACACAAGTGCACAGCATGACTCCAGGACAGGGTCTCCTCACAGAAAGAGGCCTGGTAAATATCCTCTTTTTTGTAAAAAGGTTACTGTATCACTTAACTTTCCTAAATATACCTATGCTCCTACCAGTTAACATCCATTTTATTGGATTTTAAACCATGATGGTGAGCTCTACACGATATTTATTATTTTAATCCTTAGCTGCACACTTCAGGAGCACATGGGACAACAACAGCAAACACGGAGGGGAGCCCACGCACTTCACCCTGACCCTGAATCAGAATCCACACAGGAACCTGCATTTGTGTGGGACTCAGCAGACTGCAGAGGGTGAGCAGGAAGCCTTTTCACACTCGTGCTATCTCAGTACAGGACTGTGTGAATCAGAACATCACTGGGGCACCCAAGATAGGCTTCCCAGTGCTAAGCTCTGGGATGAGAAGGAAGAAAAAGGACATAGCCCCTCACCTCACAGTGACCAGCCAGGGCCAGAATCCTTCCACCCATGAATGGCAGGTCACAGACTGTGAGACTGATGATTCCAAGCCTATCCCAGAGAAGCCAGCAAAGTGATGTCTTATGGATCAGAAGGGAGATGTGTGAGGAATACCTGGGCTCTGGGGCAGCCCCTCCCTTTGCTGAGCTCACCCTGCACTGGAACTGGCTCCCCTCCCACCTCTGCTGCAACTAATGTGATGCAGCTGCCCCAGCCAGGGGCTGTGAGGCTCCTCCAGTTAAATGGGATTCTGGGATAGATCAGCCTTAGCCAACAGCATCTATACAAGGACCACCTGTCAGGCGACTTCCAGAAGCTGGTGAAAAGTAAATGCCGTTCTCTGTCCCAGCCACAGGGAGAGCAGGCCTGGGGACAGTGCTATGTGTGACCTGACCCTGATGTCCACCCCTGCTCATCATATCCCCTCATCTAAGTCAGACATTTTGGGAACTCCCTCCTGTTCTTTGCCTCTCACTAATTTCTGATTGTGTTATTGACATCAACACAGAAAGATGGAGGAGACAAATGAAAAAGCAGCTCCTCTCTCCAGGCTCTTAGAACGGTGGCTGGGCAGTGCTCACGCCAGCCCTGAAGTCCAAGCTGTGTTCCTTCCCCATCAAATGGGGCCCGAACATCCTGGCTGCATCCAGGGCATGACATTGAACTGGCTCTCCTGGCCTTTCAACCTTGGCTTACCCCCATGGCATGGATGTCCTCATGACTTCTTCCTGCTCTTCTAAATCATGTTTAGAGTCTGTGCCCTGCTCTCTCATGGAGCACACTGGGCAGCTGGCCATGAACTTATAGAACCCCAATGTTGGTAACACTGATTTGTACCTTTAATCACACACAGTAGAAGGCCACCTCAGTGCCACAGAAAAACTACACTGTACAGATTAAAGATGACTAGGGGAATTTGGTTATGAGAACTTACTTTTGGGGGGAAACAAGGAAAATTTTAAAATCACATGGCCTCATTATATTGAAAAGTAGGGAAAGTATTGTCACCTACTTATTGTCAGCTCCCTTTGCTGAGCTCACCCTGCACTGGAACTGGCTCCCCTCCCACCTCTGCTGCAACTAGTGTGACGCAGCTGCCCTGGCCTGGGGCTGTGAGGCTTCCTCCAGTTAAACGGGATTCTGGGATAGACCAAACTTGAGCAACAGCATCTACACAGCTGAGAGAAGTGAAATGAGAGGGCATTTTCCTCATGGGAAATGCATATTTTTTTTTTAAAATCATGGTGACTCTGCAAACAAAATCATTTTGAAAATCTTTACAAAACTCTTGTGCCTTTCCACAAGTGTCCTTTAGGCTTTATTTTCAGGCCATGGCCTCAACACTATTTCCTGTCTGGGTTTTTAATGTCACCATGTAAACAAAAGACCTGTGCACACAGGACACAGCATGGTCTGACGCTCACAGTGTTTTCCTTTCTCTCTGCAGAGGGACTCAGTGCTTCGGGCAAGGGGTACGTACTCTGGGGTCACTCCTTTGCTAAGGAAATATCTTAGTGTTGAGAAAGGTGAAACTTTTCTCCCTGCTTTTGTTGGAGAGCCACCTACTTTGAGGTTCCTGCTGGAAATGAAGTTTGGACAATTTGGTGTAACAAAAATGAAAAGTTTAGTCAACAGTTGTGGCCATCCACTCTAGTTCCCAGAAGCAGTGATGTCATTTAAATAGAAAAGGGGTACATCGGGGTGGGGAGTCATGGAGGTGAGAGTCCGTGCAGAGTGATGGGGAACATCTATGAGAGTGTGTGTGTGAATTTCTCTAAAAAGGATGTTCCCTTGTTCAAAGCACAACATTAGAATCAATGTTCTAGAAACAAAACTCCAACCCCACTGGACACATCACATCAGTCAACACTCACACTTTGCCACAGCTATACGGGGAGGGTGGTTTAATATGCTGAGTCCTGAGATTGGAGAGGGTGGAGAGATGAATTATCCAGGCTGTCAATTTCCTGAATGAGAAAGGCAAAGTGATCTCAGGAATGGGTGGTGAAGACTGGAAGGATGGGCAGAAACTCTGCATTAATCAGACAGCCCTGTTGGAAGTTCTCACCACACCAGGAAGTTCAAGCATGTGTGTGTGCATATAAAAATAAAATATAACCTTAAAAAATGGTTAGTGAATAAATAGAATATTTTGATAAGAATTCAGTCTTCTTTTTTAAGGAAGGCTGCTTGCTATTTTATAGAAAACCTCTAAAAGGGAAGATATTCACAGGAGCACCAGAGGTGTATTCTAGGGAGGAAATGAGGTGGGAAGGACTCAGGAAGAGAGGGCAGGTGAGCTCAGGTCAGATTAGGAGGCACGAACCCTGAAGAGGCTGCAGGGACACACACCCTGTCCTGGGTGGGGTGCCCTGATTGAGATGGGCTATTTCATGTTGATGAGGTGACCTGGGGATAGAAAATCTCTCTTCCCTGCTCCTCCCCTGTACCTGCTGATGGTCAGTGTGTGTCTCCGACTTCCCACAGAATACACCCTGAAGGAAGCCTTCTTGTACCAATCCTCAGATGAGGAGGAGCCACCACAGTGGAAGGTCAGTCCACCTGGTTTTGTTGGAGAAAAGGTTTCTTAGCTTTATCCTTTTGAATTTCAGTAACGTAGGAGAATCTGACCCTATGTATGATAGGTGATTTATGCAGTGTCCTTGGTGGGGAGAATTCTGAGTCAGAGTCTCTTCCCCACTGAGGCTTGATTTAAGACAGGAGGAGAAAATGGCAGCACCAGCCATGCACTGAGGGACAGTGAGCTTCCTCCTCAGCAGCTTGATTCTGTTCTCGGGGCAAAATCACTTCATTGCCAATCCACAGGACCTTGAGAGGGAATATCCTGTAAGATCGACTTTAGCATGAGTCATTTGTCCTGTTCTTCTGTGTTCCTTTGACTTGAACACTCTTTCCCATCTGGTCTTCTAATGTTAACAAGTGAAGAAAAGACTTTTACACAAAAGCCTCAGGATGGTCTGAAGCTCACGGTGTTTTTCTTTCCCTCCATGCAGGCAGAGGAACCCACCAAGGAATAAGGTGTGTATTCTGGAAGCGCTCCTTGGCTAAGGAAAGATCTTCAGTGTGGCAACAGGTGGCACTTACTCTCCTGCTTTTGCTGGAGGGCTGCTTTGGTTTGAGCTTCCTGACAGAAAGGAGATAGGGGCAGTTTGGTTTTAAAAACACTCAGTCCATCAAGCAAAAAACCATGACCTTCCCCTCGAGTCCCCGGAGGCAGAATTGCCATGTAGATGGAATAGGGTGGTGTGCATCAGGGCGATACCGTGTGGAGGGGACAGCCGTGTGGAGTGATTGGGAATGACTTTGGCACTGTATGTGTGTTTACCCAGAAAATTCAGAAAAATTTTCTAAAACATTGAATCACTACTGCACATTTCACATAAATGAACTCATTCATCTTCCACCACAGCTGTACCTGAAGATAAATGTTGTATCCTCACTCCTCACATAGAGATGATGCAGAGATGAATTTCCCAGGCTCTCAATCTCCCAAACGGAAGACACAAATGGGAACTCAGGAACGGGAAAAAAATCGATGCAGTGGTTTACTACTGTGCATTCACCAGGCGGCCCTGGTATAACTCGTCATTATGCCAGGCAGCTCTGGCATCTGTTTATGCATGTGGAAGGAGAAGAGCCTTGAAAGGTCCCAAGGACTGTCTGTCATTTTAGGGAGGTCTCAAAGGCTGCCTGACGCAGAGTATAATAGGTATGTGCATTTTCTATGTGCATTTGTTAATGTGAAACACACAGAAGGGAGCTCAAGGGTGGTTTGCAATAGTGGTGGCATTATTTCTCAGCTCGTGGTCTAAAGCAGAGAAAGAATCAGGGACATACTGTATTGTGTTTAATAACCCAATTTTCACAAGCATTCGACATGCTCATGTGGGCCGGATACATGGCTTATGCCTGTAATCCTAGCACTTTGAGAGGCCGAGGCAAGTGGATTGCTTGAGTCCAGGAGGTGGAGATCAGCCTAGGCAACGTGGTGAAAGTTCGTATTGACTAAACATACAAGAAGTTACCTGGGTGTGGTGGTGCACCTGTTGTGCCAGCTACCTGGATGGCAGAGTGGGGAAGATCACTTGATCCCTCGAGGTGCAGGTTCCAGTCAGCAGAGATCATGTCACACCACTCCAGCTTAGGTAACACAGGCCATCTGCCAAATGAAAAAAAAAAAAAAAAAAAAAAAAAAAAGCAATAAGTGGAAAAATGCTTTAGTTTAGTCGTAAACACAGTCAAACACAGCGCTGACTGTGATCTCAAGGAACCCCTTGGGTGTTGGGCTCCCACCCACCTTCCCTGCGGGAACCTCCTGCACAGCTGGGATGGAGAGGGTCAAAGCCCCACCTGCTGCCCCCATGATGGGCTGTTCCAGTGTCAGAGCCAGTGTGAGTGTGAGCAGCAAAGGACTCCCAACACACGCAGACATTGCGTTGAGAAGGTCGAGTGTAAGGTCAGATAGCACTTGCTAAATAGGGGCTACATTTAAAAAAGGGGATACCTAAGTATTTTCAAAAATGTATTGTCCTCAACGCAAAAGATGAGTGAATATACTGTATCTTTTGTCTAGAATGAGATGTCTCAGAAGAAAGGTTGCTTTTTACCAAGTACAACATATCACAGAATGACTGATATAACCAGAAGCACCCGAGGTGGATTCTAAGGAGAAAGTGAGCTTGGAAAGCCTCAGGAAGGGAGGGCAAGTGAGCTCAGGTCAGGTGAGGAGGCAGGAGCCCTGAAGAGTCTGCAGGGACACACAGCCTGCCCTGGGTGGTGTGCCCTGTTTGAGATGGGCTATTTCTCGTTGATGAGGTGACCTGGGGTTAGAAAACCTCTCTTCCCTGCTCCTCCCCTGCACCTGCTGATGGTCACTCTGTGTCGTCCTACTTCCCACAGAATATACCCTGGTGGAACCGTTCTCGTACCAATCCTCAGATGAAGAGGAGCCACCACAGTGGAAGGTCAGTCCACCTGGTTTGGTTGGACAAAAGGTTTCTTAACTCTATCCTTTTGAATTTCAGTGAGGTAGGAGAATCTGACCCTGTGTATCATAGGTGCTTTATACAGTGTCGGTGGAAGGAATTCTGAGTGAGAGTCTGTTCCCCACTGAGGATTGATTTAAGTCAGGAGGAGAAAATGGCAGCAACAGCCACGCACTGAGTGGCAGCTGCCTTTTTCCTCAGTTGCTTGATTGTCTTTTTGGAGCAAAATTACTTAACTGCCAAGTCATATAAACTTGGAGGAAACATCCTCCAAGAAAAACTTATGTTTTTGACATGAGTCTTTTTGTCCTGTTTCCATTATGAGTTACTTTGCCTTTTTCCAATATGCTTTTCTAATGTCAGTAAGTGGACATGACATCTTTGTACACAGGACCCAGCATGGTCTGTTGCTGACAGCAATATGTTTCCATTTCTTACAGGTGGCCTCAGGAGTCTTAGAGAATGGTACGTATTGGGGCCCTCCTCAGTGTGGATAAATATTTCAAATGATGAGGAATGTAGCACTGTCTCACTCACTTTTTTATAGACAGAAAGCCTGAATTGAGCTTCCTGTTGTCAATGAGAGGAATTTTTTTTTTCAGATAAGGAGCTACAGCCACATTCTTCAGTCCCTGGGGGCGGCTCTGTGTTCTGTATGTGGGATGGAGTTGTGTGCACAGGGCTGGCGTGCATCTGTGTGAATGCATATGCTGTGGTGCTCAGTGTGCCTTGGTGTGTGGGTGGAAGTTATCACTGAAAGTGCAATCTTGGCTGGGCGTGGTGGCTTATGCCTGTAATCCCAGCACTTTGGGAGCACCAGTTGGGTGGATCACGAGGTTAGGGGTTTGAGAGCATCCTGGTCAACACAGTGAAACCTGCCTCTACTAAAAAATACCAGAAATTAGCTGAGTGTGGTGGTGAGTGCCTGTAATCTCAGCTACTTGGGAGGCTGAGGCAGGAGAATAGCTTGAACCCAGGAGGTGGAGGTTGCAGTGAACCAAGATTGGGCCACTGTACTCCAGGCTGGGTGACGGTGCCAGACTCGGAGGAAAGAAAGAAAGAAAAGAAAGAAAAGAAAGAAAGAAAGAAAGAAAGAAAGAAAGAGAGAGAGAGAGAGAGAGAGAGAGAGAAAGAAAGAAAGAAAGAAAGGAAAGGAAGGAAGGAAGGAAGGAAGGAAGGAAGGAAGGAAGGAAGGAAGAAAGGAAGAAAGGAAGGAAGGAAGGAAGGAAAGAAAGAAAGAAAGAGAAAGAAGGAGAAAGAAAGAAGAAAGAAAAGGAAAGAAAGAAAGAAAGGAAAGAGAGAGAGAGAAAGAAAGAAAGAAAGAAAAGAAAGAAAGAAAGAAGAAAGAAAGAAAAGAAGGAAAGAAAGAAAGAAAGGAAAGAAAAGAAAGAAGGAAAGAAGGAAAGAAAAAGAAAGGAAGGAAGAAAGAAAGGAAGAAAGGAAGGAAGGAAGGAAAGAAAGAAAGAAAGAAAGAGAAAGAAGGAGAAAGAAAGAAAGAAAGAAAGAAGAAAGAAAGAAAAGAAGGAAAGAAAGAAAGAAAGGAAAGAGAGAGAGAGAGAAAGAAAGAAAGGAAAGAAAGAAAGAAGAAAGAAAGAAAAGAAGGAAAGAAAGAAAGAAAGAAAGGAAAGAAAAAGAAAAGAAAGAAGGAAAGAAGGAAAGAAAGAGAAAGAAAGAAAGAGAAAGAAAGAGAAAGAAAGAAGGAAAGAAAAAGAAAGAGAGAGAGAGAAAGAAAGGAAAGAAGGAAGGAAGAAAGAAAGAAAGGAAAGAAAGAAAGAAAGAAAAGAAAGAAGGAAGGAAGAAAGAAAGAAGAAAGAAAGGAAAGAAAGAAAGAAAGGAAAGAAAAAGAAAGAAAGAGAGAGAGAGAAAGAAAGAAAGAAAAAGAAAGAAAGGAAGGAAGGAAGGAAAGAAAGAAAGAAAGGAAGGAAAGAAAGAAAAGAAGAGAGAGAGAGAGGAGAGAGAGAGAGAGAAAGAAAGGAAAGAAAGAAAGAAAGAAAGAAAGGAAAGAAAGAAAGAAAGAAGAAAGAAAGAAGAAGGAAGGAAGGAAGGAAGGAAAGAAAGAAGAAAAAGAAAGAAAGAAAAAAGAAAGGAAGGAAGGAAAGAAGAAAGAAAGAAAGACAAAAGAAAAGAAAGAAGGAAGGAAGGAAGGAGAAAGAAGAAAGGAAGGAAGGAAGGAAAAGAGAAAGAAGGAGAAAGAAAAGAAAGAAAAAGAAAGAAAGAAAGAAAGAAAGAAAGAAAAGAAAGAAAGGAAAGAGAGAGAGAGAAAGAAAGAAAGAAAGAAAAAGAAAGAAAGAAAGAAAAGAAAAGAAAGAAAGAAAGGAAAGAAAGAGAAAGAAAGAAAGAAAGAAAGAGAAAGAAAGAAAGAAAGCATAATTTTACAAAGAATGCAGTTGATTCCATGCCAAGGTCACTTTAGTTAACCTAAAGGAAATCCTGCCAACACCCAGGGTAATGTTCACTGGGTAGTAATAGAGCAAAACTGTTTCCAGTATCTCTGCTAATTCATTTGTTTTCATTGGGAATCCGCTTCTAAACCTCATTTTCTAATAAATTTCATCTGGTAGCAGGCCTTCCTATTTCCTCCTGCCATTGGAGTGGTCATGACACCTCAGTGTTTCCAGTTCCCTCCTTCACAAGGCTTTTTTACTAAAGCCCTCAGAATTGATCCTCCACCGCCCATCTATGCGTCGCTGTAACCGGACCCTAGGGAAAGCCCTTTGCCCCACTGCCTTAATTAGCAGGTGAGCCTGCGGTTGTCAGCACATGAATAAAGGGGCCCTGCCAGGTTTTGCCTGACCTGTGGGACAATTGGGTGGAAGGGCCCCTGGCAGGCATCTATGCTTATTTATATTTAATTTAAATTAATTTCAAGAAATAAAAGTAAAAAATTCAGAACCTCCTCTCGTGCCATGCTTCAAGTACCCAGTATCCCAATGCTCACACTGCAGAGAGTATTGCCATCCTGTCAGAATGTTCTCTGGGCCAGCTGTCATGAGCCTGTCCCAGGTTCTGGTCACTGCACTCACCGAACTCAACACGTGTGCCTCTATGTTCGAAATTCAGGGTTCTCAGAGTAGAGCTGACAGCCATAATGGGCCAGTAGAGGTGAATGGGTGAAGGGGGATTTTTTTCAGGTTTTCTGTCTCATCTGAAGGCTCCCAGCTGAGTCCACAGAGCCCAGGGAGAGTCTGAGATCACAGAGGATGGAGCAGGGCACCTGGTGTCACCCAGTGTGGCTGTGCGTGGAGCAGGAGTGCTGTTCCAGTCACTCTGAAGTCACCCTTCTCTGATGTTTGTGTCTCTGTAGGTAGCTCTGAGGACAGCTTTCCTGAAACCAGTGATGACAAAGACTGCCAGTAGCAGAGACACTCCAGGTGGGGCTGGGACACAGGGTTCTTGGGGGCAGCTGGGTTACACCTGTGGTTTCTGTGCCTCGGCTGGGAGCTATGAAGTCAGTGAATATAAAAGGAAGTAGGTGTAGAGGTGGGGTTTGTTCTTTCTGCATGTTAATGAGAAATGGAAGGAGTTTTGTTTCCATGGGCGTCATGTGTGCTCTGCCCCTCCCCATGATTCCTTCCCTGATGAGCAAGATGACCTTTTCCAGAAGGCCAGATCTCTCCTGCCTGTGCCACAGCAAACACCAAAGCCCTGGGTTTTGTGCGTGTGTGTGTTGGGCGAGCGAGTAGTGTCCTTTGTGAATGGAGAACAGGAGATGAGTATGCGA